AGTTTTACCACCAGATGGCAGCATATGACCAAGGTTTTAAAGATCGCAGCTCAGAAAAACTCAGGGTTTTGTTCCTCAGAAAGGAATTTTCTGCTCTTAACAGAAGAGAATGAATTTAAAAAGAAAAAATAGTACAAAATAAGCACTCCATTTTCTTTCCTTAAAGACAAGTGAAATTCAAAGTGTTAAGATCTTCAGTAGTGCACAAAATAGTTGATTTATTGCAGGAATAGGGAGGAGTACCTAAAAATGTAATTAGTAACTTTGTTTTTAAAAAATATTTTAAGAAAATATAGTTTTTATCTAAATTTTTCTGATATTTTCTTCAAAATTGCAGTATGTGAGGATGCTTTTTTATCCCTCCTTTAATCATCTCTGTAGTTGTTTAGTAGAGATTTTTTCCTAAAAGATTCATTTAGAACGTGTAGACTCTTACCAAGCTTGTAGTGACAGGTTAATGCAGGCACATGCCTAGCTTCCTCCTGACCAAATGCTGCTTCTTCAATTTGCTCTCCTATCATATTGTGTGTGTGTTACGGGTGTAGGGATAGAGTTTCTAGAATCTCCCTGTACGTTTGTTATTCATCATATTACTGCAATAGATTTTTTTTTTTACATATCTTTTTCATTCTTTGGGCCTACATTGCCATGGTTTACTTAAGATATCTTTTTCAGTTCACCAAAATTGCACAAATCATCCTCTCTAGAAGAGATTTGACCACAAAACTGGTAACAAAAATTGTTATTTATTGAGCATTTACTATGTATATGACCCAATGTAAGAACAGTGCGTTCATTAACTTATCTAATTTATAGTTCAGATTTAGTAGGGTATGTTAAACTCATTTTACTGATAATGGAATGGAGGTAAAGTGGGGTAAAGAGACATTTTGTAGTTTCATCGGAATTATTGGCCTCCCTGACTGTCCTGGTTCCCAAACAAGGACTTGGACTCATTCCCTTGAAGCCTGTGGACCAGAGATGGAGCAGGAGAAACAGTGTTCTTTACCTGAAGGCGATACCATCTAGGATTTAGGCTCCTCTGGGTAAAGAATATCATTCCGTGGGCTTGAGGCATCCTTACACATTTTCTTAAAAATAGGGTCAGCAAGCGATGCAGTGGTTAAGGTGCTAGACTCCCACGTGGCCAACTGTGGTTCAAGTCCCAGACCTGGTGGCTTTCTTTCTCACTTTCTTTCTCTCATGCTCTGTGTATCTCTTGGTCAAATTTAAATAGTAATAACAAATAAAATAAAATAAATAATTCTTAAAAAAAAATACAATGAGCCAAGAGACATGACACAAGAAAGAAGAAAATTTGTACTTTGCATAAGAGCACAACTTTCTAGCCAGTACTAAATTATGTTTTTGGTTTTTTTAGATATTTGCCATAGGGAGTATATGCTCATTAGAAAGAGAGAGACAGTTCAGGACTCTAACTACACAGTCAGTCCTGTGGGATCCAGCACCTTAAACCACCATGCCACCTGCTGGCAGTGTTGAATTATGTTAATGGCCCAGTGATACCCCCCTAGAGTTATAGAGGCCTTGCTTTTTTTTATTTTATTTTATTTTTAGAGAGAGGTTTAGAGTACATGAATTTCCCAGAGAGAGAGAGAGAGACAAAGACAGTGAGAGGGAAAATGAGAAATCACACTCCCACCCCCCAGAGGGAATGGCCATGCTTCAGTCCCTTCTCCTCCATTTTCCTCCTGGGACCTTGAGCATGCATGCACACAGGCCTGGTGTGATTTGAAGCCACTGGGTCCAGAACTCGAACTGCAGTTGGCCATGTGATAGTCCAGAACGTAATTGCAACACCATCTGCTGGCCCCCAGAGGCCTTCCTTTTCTAAATATATATGTGTGTGTGTGTGTGTGTGTGTGTGTGTGTGTAACGAAGGAGTATTGTGGAATGATGGACTGGATTCTAGCTATAGAAGTGGGAGCCTTTAATTTCAGGCTCAGCTCTGCTTCTCGCTGTCTGTGTGAGCTCACTGAATCTGTTCCCTTACATTAGGATAAATGCAGCTTCTCTGCAGCACCCATGCAGCAATATGCAAGCCATACGTTGATTTCAAAGAAAAGATATAAAGCAGGTACGAGGAGAGAAAACAAGAGGCAGTATGTTCCGTACACCATTGAAATGTTAGGGATCAGATAATGAGATATGAGATATGTGGGAAAGGCTGTCGCCAGGAGAAGGCTGGTGTTTCATGTACTAGCAGAATCCACTGCACTTCCAGGTGAGAATGGGACCAGTTACTGACTCCCGCTAGAAGAGAACTCTTCCTCTGTCTTTCTATATGAACTTACACTGTGTCACATTTATTTATTTATTTTCTTCCTTTTTTTATTTTGGAGCGGTTTTCACTATAGGGCGTGTGCGCTCACCAGAAAGACAGAGAGAGACAGAGAGACAGAAAGTGAGAAATCACCCCCAGGGGGGATGGCCACACTGCAATCCCTTCTCCTCCATTCTCCTCTCTGGATCTTGGGCACACACGCGCACGTGCCCGGCTTGAGTTTTAAGCCACCGGGCCCAGGACGCGAACTGTGGTCGACTACATGGGAGTCCAGTGACACAGCCATTACGCTAACTACTGGTCCCTGTCACATTTATTGATTGGAAATATCTGAAAGTAATGGACCTGCAGGATAGGAGGGCTGGCGCTGATGTCTTTCAGTATCCTCAGAAGCGTACCCAGATCTGTGCCAGCTAGCATGACATAATAGAATTTTCAGACTGGATTCCCTTCCAGTGTACCAGAAGTTAGCTTGGTTTTGTTTTTTTTTTTTTTTTTTTTTTTAAGAATTATTTTTTATTTAACTGTATTTATTTATTTTAGTTTGACCAGAGAGGGACAGAGTAAGAGAGAGAATGAAAGTGGGAAATCAAGCCCCCAGGTCTGGGACTCAAACCACGGTTGCCATGTGGGAGTCCAGCACCCCTAACCACGAAGTCATCTGCCAGCCCCGACACAGTTAGCTTTAAGGAACTGCCTGCTGGCACTAGTTTTTCTCATGCTGTCTTGCAGCCAAAATTTTCAGACTTCTGACACTAGAACATTTGTGCCATTCTTCATTGCCATCATAAGAACACTAGATAATGACCTAGTGTTTAAGAGCGTCTCCTGGTGACCTTTAGGTAGAAAAGTGAAAAATCCACGAGGGACGAGATTAGTAGGTTGCTCTGAGTGTTAGAAACTCTGCAGACCAGAATTCAAAGATACGACCTGTTTGTGCTAAATCAGAGAATAAGGAATTTAGCTAATCAGCTCCCGGCTGTACTAGGTTAGAAGATGTATGGCACCTAGTTGATTTTCTCCTATTTCAGTGGTTCTAGATCTTCTTTTTTGGCATGTTATGCATCCACAGTGGCTGCCACACAGGGCCTGGGCTACAACAGCAAACAACAGGCACAGCCCCTCCCTCCGTGGAACACAAAGCCTACTGCAGAAGACAGGCATAATCAAAGCATCAGACAGATACATTTGAAACTAAAACTGAGCTGGGTTTTATGAAGGAGAGCAGAACTTATTTATAATAAAGGGACTTGAGTTTATCATGGAGACCAAGGAAGATTTTCCTGTGGAAGGAAAAACTGAATTCTAAAGAATGAGTGAGGGTGAGATATACTCTGGGTCCAGGCCTCTATGGCAGAGGAAACGTGGTACCATGAACAGCGAAGGAGGGCTAAGGGGACTGGAGTGCAGAGGTGATAGCTGCTGAGGAGTCTGGATAGGGGTGAAGGATATTGTGGAAGACCAAAAAAAAAAAAAAAAAAAGTGAAAGATTCTGGTATTTGTTCTAGAAGCCACAAAAAAGCATGAGCAAATTTCCAGTAGGAGTAGAAGGTAACCAGAAGGCTAATTCAGAAGGCTTCCCCTGGCTGAGGAGCCCAGTCACTACTTTTGAAGTAAAACAAAACAACAACAACAACAACAACAACAAAAGAGTGTTACTCAGGAATGCAGGGCTATGTGTAATGGTCACAGAGAAGAAAATCCCACTGTCAGTTTGGGCTGCTAGAGCTGACCAATGTTTAAGTTGGTGCCGAGATTCAAAATGTTATCCTATGAACATTTTACGTATTTGCATGGAAAGATCCGAGAGTATTGTGGTTTACTTGATAAAGAGCCTTTGAAGGGATTCCAAAAATTTGGCCCATGTGAGTGCTCCCAATCCTGAGATTTATTTATACATCCAACAAGTATTTATTGAATATCTACTACACGCCAGGCACAAATCTAAGCACTAGAGACACAATATTGATGAGACATGCACTGTCGCTGCCCTCCTGGCGCGTATATTCTAACGGAAGAGACACACCGGAAATAAGCAAGTGCATCGCAGGATGCCAAGGAGAGAGAAGTGCACTAGACTAGTAAGCAGGGAAAGGAATGGAGAAAGAACGGAGGTTACTACTTTTGGTAATGCAATGGGGGGAGTCCTTACTGAGGTGTGATATTTCAGTAGAAATGCAAAGGAAATTATTGAGTGTGCATTACAAACATCTGGGAGAGTAGGGTCCAAGCAGACAAAACAGCTTGTGTGAAGGTTTCAGAGTTGGAACAAACTTGGCATGTTAGAAGAACAGCAAGATGGCGGCTGGCGTGAAGGAAGTGCCCCAAGAACAAAATCATAGGGTAAGGCTGAGGACCAGATAAATGCTACGATGCCACCAAACTCAGTACAGAGGCTTTTACATTCTAGACTCAGAATTCTGGCACTTGTGTACACACATAACACATAGCATCAAGTACAAGCATCAAGCAAATCACTTTTTTGCTACCTCTGGCTGCACGGTATCTATTCCAACTACCTCTTTCTATTCTTCTTTCTCTCTATCTCTAGCAGAATCTGTTTCTATTAAAATGTTCTTTCCACTCTTTCTCTCATTCTCCTTTCAGTGGAGAGTACCAGACTATCCTTATATTTATCCTCAATTGATAAAAGATTGTTTATTTGTTTTCGTTTTGTTAAATGTTTCTTTTTTAGAAATTGGCACCACCGTACACTTCAAGCAAAAAGGTATGGCTTTCATTTTTGATTACCTTCTATATCTAAGGTTAAAATTTCACAGCAATATAATGTGGTCTCATGTATTCCTTATCTTAAATGTTCACGGTTACTTCTTGCAGAGTTGCATTTTTGGAAATGCTCACAGCTCAGTGACAGGGCTTTCAGAAGAGACACGGAGACTCTTTTTCAGGCACTTGTTGGCTATTCCTGTATACATTGTTGAAGGACACAGAGCAGAATCTCTTAGAATGAAGCCTCTGAGCAGTGGCTATTTCCTCCTGTCTCGTGTTCTCAGGTCTTTAGAAAGCCTGACTCTACTGCAGCATCCCAGACTGCTAGGCCTCCTAGGATCTGCCATCACATGTCCTGCAGGGCCCCAAGCACCTCCACCAACCACACAACACATAATCCACATCCTTTTCTCAACGATGTGCAGCAAGGTCAAGGCATCATAAAACAGACCCTAAAATGCAAACAGCTACCGATTCTGAGGTACCCTCTGTACAGATCCAGTAGGTCATAATCCCTAACGGCGTCTCTTCTCAGACTACAGAGGCACACGGGAGGCCAGATCACCCTCGTTAAATCCACGTGATCACTCACTTGCTTGTCCATTGTTTCATTTAAAGATGTCATTCCTCTGAACCTCAAAAGGGATGAGATAGCCTATTTCTGTGGGACATAGGCCCTGCTCATGACCAAGAGCTACAAACATTTTAAACACCTTACTGCTTACTTCCGAGAATGAACCAATACCTTGTTTATGGCTCGTTCTAAGAAGGGAACAGAAAGAAACAGTGGGAATACACTGGTATATTTGGGACAAGAATAGGATTACTCAAGGCAAGAAGGCATAAACAGTTGTCCTCTTCACCCATTGGCCACTCCCTCATGCCACGAGGGCTAATCAAGTTTGAAACTTAAGTGATTACCATTACCTATCATACCTAGGACTTTGTTGTGAATGACGAGATAAGGTATAGTTTTGCTTTTTGTTTCCGTTTGTGTTTCAAAGACCATCAAGATGAACTACCAAAAAAAGAATTGGTCTAAAATTTGAAAAAAAAAAAAAATGTGTGTACCAAAATGCTTGATGTTCTTTGATGGAAAAGTCATGAGGACCCTAACTTAACTAGGAGAATATGTCAGCCATACCAAATTCTCCCCTTTATAGAGAGTAGAGATAATGCATAAAAAGTTTTGTAGGAAGAGCCAAGATTTCATTCTAGTACCCGTTACTCAAAGAAAACTTCAGTCATTTCCTTAATCTAATCTACCCCAGCATGAAGTGACACGTTTTAGTCCCCAATTCATTCAGCCTGAGAAGCTACGCAGTAGTGGCAGAGAATGAGGACCAGGTGGCGCCAAAGTCAGTCTTATCGGGTCTCCCTTTAGATGTGGCTTCCAGCGACACAAGGCACATTACTCTGCACATCTAGATGACAGCGAAGAGACTGAGGAGATGCTGCCAATTATTTTTCTTCTTTGTTTAATTACTTTTAATTCTTTAGACTTTTGTTTTATGTTTTCAGTCATTAGATCAGCCTTTAACAATTCCAAGAATTCAAACTTAAACTCCTCTGGTCTTTCATCTCTTCTTAAATGGTTGAACTATGCACAGGAATAAAATCATGATTATTCTTCAGCGACTTAGGCTGAGGAGCCCAGTCACTACTTTTGAAGTAAAACAAAACAACAACAACAACAACAACAACAAAAGAGTGTTACTCAGGAATGCAGGGCTATGTGTAATGGTCACAGAGAAGAAAATCCCACTGTCAGTTTGGGCTGCTAGAGCTGACCAATGTTTAAGTTGGTGCCGAGATTCAAAATGTTATCCTATGAACATTTTACGTATTTGCATGGAAAGATCCGAGAGTATTGTGGTTTACTTGATAAAGAGCCTTTGAAGGGATTCCAAAAATTTGGCCCATGTGAGTGCTCCCAATCCTGAGATTTATTTATACATCCAACAAGTATTTATTGAATATCTACTACACGCCAGGCACAAATCTAAGCACTAGAGACACAATATTGATGAGACATGCACTGTCGCTGCCCTCCTGGCGCGTATATTCTAACGGAAGAGACACACCGGAAATAAGCAAGTGCATCGCAGGATGCCAAGGAGAGAGAAGTGCACTAGACTAGTAAGCAGGGAAAGGAATGGAGAAAGAACGGAGGTTACTACTTTTGGTAATGCAATGGGGGGAGTCCTTACTGAGGTGTGATATTTCAGTAGAAATGCAAAGGAAATTATTGAGTGTGCATTACAAACATCTGGGAGAGTAGGGTCCAAGCAGACAAAACAGCTTGTGTGAAGGTTTCAGAGTTGGAACAAACTTGGCATGTTAGAAGAACAGCAAGATGGCGGCTGGCGTGAAGGAAGTGCCCCAAGAACAAAATCATAGGGTAAGGCTGAGGACCAGATAAATGCTACGATGCCACCAAACTCAGTACAGAGGCTTTTACATTCTAGACTCAGAATTCTGGCACTTGTGTACACACATAACACATAGCATCAAGTACAAGCATCAAGCAAATCACTTTTTTGCTACCTCTGGCTGCACGGTATCTATTCCAACTACCTCTTTCTATTCTTCTTTCTCTCTATCTCTAGCAGAATCTGTTTCTATTAAAATGTTCTTTCCACTCTTTCTCTCATTCTCCTTTCAGTGGAGAGTACCAGACTATCCTTATATTTATCCTCAATTGATAAAAGATTGTTTATTTGTTTTCGTTTTGTTAAATGTTTCTTTTTTAGAAATTGGCACCACCGTACACTTCAAGCAAAAAGGTATGGCTTTCATTTTTGATTACCTTCTATATCTAAGGTTAAAATTTCACAGCAATATAATGTGGTCTCATGTATTCCTTATCTTAAATGTTCACGGTTACTTCTTGCAGAGTTGCATTTTTGGAAATGCTCACAGCTCAGTGACAGGGCTTTCAGAAGAGACACGGAGACTCTTTTTCAGGCACTTGTTGGCTATTCCTGTATACATTGTTGAAGGACACAGAGCAGAATCTCTTAGAATGAAGCCTCTGAGCAGTGGCTATTTCCTCCTGTCTCGTGTTCTCAGGTCTTTAGAAAGCCTGACTCTACTGCAGCATCCCAGACTGCTAGGCCTCCTAGGATCTGCCATCACATGTCCTGCAGGGCCCCAAGCACCTCCACCAACCACACAACACATAATCCACATCCTTTTCTCAACGATGTGCAGCAAGGTCAAGGCATCATAAAACAGACCCTAAAATGCAAACAGCTACCGATTCTGAGGTACCCTCTGTACAGATCCAGTAGGTCATAATCCCTAACGGCGTCTCTTCTCAGACTACAGAGGCACACGGGAGGCCAGATCACCCTCGTTAAATCCACGTGATCACTCACTTGCTTGTCCATTGTTTCATTTAAAGATGTCATTCCTCTGAACCTCAAAAGGGATGAGATAGCCTATTTCTGTGGGACATAGGCCCTGCTCATGACCAAGAGCTACAAACATTTTAAACACCTTACTGCTTACTTCCGAGAATGAACCAATACCTTGTTTATGGCTCGTTCTAAGAAGGGAACAGAAAGAAACAGTGGGAATACACTGGTATATTTGGGACAAGAATAGGATTACTCAAGGCAAGAAGGCATAAACAGTTGTCCTCTTCACCCATTGGCCACTCCCTCATGCCACGAGGGCTAATCAAGTTTGAAACTTAAGTGATTACCATTACCTATCATACCTAGGACTTTGTTGTGAATGACGAGATAAGGTATAGTTTTGCTTTTTGTTTCCGTTTGTGTTTCAAAGACCATCAAGATGAACTACCAAAAAAAGAATTGGTCTAAAATTTGAAAAAAAAAAAAAATGTGTGTACCAAAATGCTTGATGTTCTTTGATGGAAAAGTCATGAGGACCCTAACTTAACTAGGAGAATATGTCAGCCATACCAAATTCTCCCCTTTATAGAGAGTAGAGATAATGCATAAAAAGTTTTGTAGGAAGAGCCAAGATTTCATTCTAGTACCCGTTACTCAAAGAAAACTTCAGTCATTTCCTTAATCTAATCTACCCCAGCATGAAGTGACACGTTTTAGTCCCCAATTCATTCAGCCTGAGAAGCTACGCAGTAGTGGCAGAGAATGAGGACCAGGTGGCGCCAAAGTCAGTCTTATCGGGTCTCCCTTTAGATGTGGCTTCCAGCGACACAAGGCACATTACTCTGCACATCTAGATGACAGCGAAGAGACTGAGGAGATGCTGCCAATTATTTTTCTTCTTTGTTTAATTACTTTTAATTCTTTAGACTTTTGTTTTATGTTTTCAGTCATTAGATCAGCCTTTAACAATTCCAAGAATTCAAACTTAAACTCCTCTGGTCTTTCATCTCTTCTTAAATGGTTGAACTATGCACAGGAATAAAATCATGATTATTCTTCAGCGACTTAAAGGAATGCCCAAGAATCCCTGAGGGCAGGATAAATGACCACTTTTCATAAAATTAGTTCCAAATCCAAGATATGGGCCCTAAATACTCTGGAGAAGCTACAGAAATCTCTTCTCCAGATTTGAATTGCCCAATGTCTCCAAGCACATGTTCTCTGGAACAGGTGTTGACGCATCACTTGGTCCTTTCTCAGAGATTTTACTAAAAAAACAAATACATTGGCTCAGAATCCTCCATCAGATTTATAGTGTAGGTGCTTGCCAAAAGTTCTCATATCTAGCAATTCGAGGATGTCTTATCAGTCCTGTCCTTAATCACAAATTCACTTTTGTAAGCACTGTCATGGCAAAGTGCAATCCCACATGCATTTTGATACAGAGCCTCGGTTATCCTACCCTGGGGATGAAACCTTGCCCAGTATGTTGACTCCTGGTTCATATTCCTGTTGGAGCTGAATTTTCCCCTCTATGGTCAAACATTAAACACCTCAACCCAATTCCCACCAATGCCTTTGATTCTGGTTGGCATTTCACCCCCTTTTGTCATCCAAACTTCTATGTTAGTAATAATACTACTAATACCATTTACTGAATATCAGATACCACACATATCAAGATGTGCGTGTGCATATTCTATAATGTGGTTCGATACCAAGATGTGATTTTTATCTACTCTATGAAAAATATGTAGCACAGTTTGGAATTGTGGTTCTACTTGCTCATCTATTCTCAAGGCTAATTCGTGTTTGCCGACTCTGGCTTTTATTCTAGCTGTCAGTATATGAGAGCACTTGCTGAGCCTGGCCATCTGGCTTAGGAAATACGATTTATCATTTGCATTTCCACAAATAAGCAGAAATTTCATAACTTTGAACTAAAACATAATTAATGATTTTGTTGATTATGCTTCCTGGAAATAGCCATTAGCTGAAGTAGTCTCCTCTGCAGTCGCATGTATCTGTAATTGCAAACACACTTGTGGTGGTCTCCCCACTATCACCCATGTCCCCTTGCATTTTTTCCAATCCTATTTATTTACTCTCAAAATCACTTATGAAAAGAGCAAGTCATATAAGCACATTAGATAGCTATACAAGAGCATTTAATAAATAAGAATTGGTGGAGAAGAAGATATCTTCGACAGATGCACAAAATGCATTTTAAATATATCATAATAATGCTATTAAGGATAAAGTTAAAGATGAACACAGTCACCTGAGATCCCCTATTATAACTCAGAATAGTGTGTAAAAATAATAGTTAATTTTGAATTATGTGCCCTGAAAGACCAATACTATGTGTTTATATTATGTGTGCATACATACATATATATATATATGTATATAAACATATACATATATCGTGTATTTCTTTTTGAAGAAAAGAATACATTATGAAGAATGTTTTATGTGGCTATATTCCTCCAGGTTAATATATGTATGTGCTATTGATTTAATGAGCTAATACTTGCTTTCTCAAATAGTTACAATTATTCAAATAAAATGGAAAGGCTCACCTGTTTAGCCTTCGCCAGATTCCACTCCACTCCAGGATTCTGAAAGAGAATACAGCTCCTCCTAGCACTAAAACTGAGAGGAAGGAAATAAGCAGAACTGGGCTCTTTCTGAAAAGCTCCTGTTTCATACTGTCCTGGGGGTAAAACAAATTAGTGTTGCTTAATCCTATATGACTTTAATTTTTGTGTAGTCATCTGTTTTGAGAAGTCTCTTTGATGCACTAACAAAAACAAAGTGCCAAGGAGATCATGCCATGTAATGTCCAGAGGAGCTGAAAGGATAAAAAAGTAACACTGCCACCAAGCTAAAGCCCTGGAAAGTTGCCGCTAAGAGTGCTGGAAGGTGCCAGAAGGTCAGAAGATGGGGGGCTGTGATGTGGAAGTCATAGAGAGAATGGATGAGGACAGACATTGAGCTAGGACTCAGGTGTTTTTTGCAGGATCCAGCATCTCATTGAACCTTAATTCTTCATGAAAGACACAGACCTGAAGTTAGTTAAAGTACCTTTTATTAATATGGTCATAAAGCCACTCAGAGAAGTGGAGAATTCACTGATTAAACATTTAATTTCCTTATTCTGTGTTTCCATAGTTTTACACACAATAAAGCTCATTTTTTAACCATAACTGTGCAGCTCAAAGTTTATATAGATTCCAATTTTTAAATTAAGTATTACATAGATTCCTATTCTTAAAGTAAGTATTGTTTGTAGCTTTCTCAAGAAGCTCTTCTAGTCAAAAATATTCTATTGGAAATCATTTTTGTGGAGATAATGGTTGTCTCCTTGGTGTTTTTGTTTGTACTGGTTACTGTTTTAATCAAACCCAAGTTTCATTTCCCAAATGCTTAACAAGACCCTCACTGGGTCCCGTGTAATCTCAGTATGTAGTGGTGAAAGGCAATGACTCTGGAGTGAAAAACCTGGTAAAAACTCCAGCTCTCCTGCTGATGAATTGTGCATATTTGAGCAATGGATTTAACTTCTCTGTGGCTCCATTATTTCACTGTAAAACAGGTTTCATTATAGTACCCACCTCAGGACATGGTTGTGCACTTACATTTATGAGCATTAATAATAGCTCGGTGCAGAGAGTACTATATAATTGGTTGTTGTTGCTTTTATTGTTAAAAAAACGAAAAAGGTTAGGAGACCATTTTTGAATCCAGCATTTTCCTTGATAGCCTACCTCCAATCTGGTATGCTTGTAAACAGCTTTGGAAAAATTTACATACCAGAGAGCACTTACAAAATATCATGATTTTACACACACAGGCACCCACACACTATGTATCCATCCACATCTGTGCTCTCAAACTTCATCGTGATTCCTAATTATAGTCACACATTTCTTTTGGCTATCATTGTGTGAGTATGTAGTCTTAAATCCAGAAGTCTCTGTAATAAAATTACACAGTTCTTCCCCTTAATGCAATATGAGCAGAGTCATACAAAAGGAGAAAATGGAACAACCAGAGGAGACAAGCTCTTCACTCATATTTATCATTTCTGTCCTTAGCCTCCAATTTCCATCAATACATCAACACTTTATACACCTCTTTTTCCACCCCATTCTCCCTCTCAAATCCACACTCATCTCCTCCCAGTTGTCTTCACCTTGGAAAAAATAGGGTAGCAGAAAGAGACATAGACTACCAATCCAGTTTCAATTCCATGTGAGTTATTTTCAGTTCTGCTCCTGATTCAGGTCTGCTTCTTAACCTCTCGTGATTGGTTGGTTTGTTTTTGTTGTTGTCATTTTTTTCCCCTTAATTTTTGCTAAAGAGTGTGTGTGTTCAACATAGAAAAAGAGAGAGAAAGAGAGAGCGCAAGAAAGCAACCCCCCTCGAGGGGGGGGGGATGACCACGCTGCAGTTCCTTCTCCTCCATTCCTCTTGTGGAATTTTGGGCATATGCATGCACACATGCGCACACGCTCAGCATGTTCTTCAAACTGTTGGGTCAGAGGCTCGAACCATGCAGGTAGCCATGTGGGGTCCAGCTGCCCTAACCACTACACACTGGCTGGCCCGTTGCCTTGTCTTTTGTTTTTGATGTTTAAAGTGACGAGTTTAAATGAAGAGTTTGGACAAGATTAAGATTCTACAGTTTCTAGATTCATTTTCTACCATGCTAAGGTGTCACTTAGCCTTAAGAGTTATTTTAAAACAATTCCCTTCCCCATCAGTAAATAACTAATTACTGCTTCTCTCCTGGGAAACAAGCGGGTCTCGGGCTGGTTCCATATTTTACTGATGGAGAAGCTGTTCAGTTTGGCCAGAAGGACCCTTCCCAGGGACTGGAACCTAAGGAGTGCGGGCGTCACAGTGCTGTGCAGGGCAGCACAAGCACAAGGCAGCGGGCTGAACAGGAGCTGCGGCTCCATCAGACACATCCCTGACAGCCAGCCTAGGGACATCAGCAAGAGCGTTTTGTATCTCCATTTTGTATTTCAACCAATGATATCCCTTAAGATACTTGTAACTTGGGACCAGCAGTTAGCATAATGGCTATGTTGCTGGACTCCCATGTGGTCGACCACCATTTGAATCCCGGACCCGGTGGCTTAAACTCATGCTGGGTGCATGTGCGTGTGTGCCCAAGATCCAGAGAGGAGAATAGAGGAGAAGGGATTGCAGTGTGGTCATCTCCCCTGGGGGGGGTGATTTCTTGCTTTCTGTCTCTCTGTCTTTCTCTGTCTTTCTGGCGACTGCATGGGCCCAATAGTAAAAACTTATAAAAAAAAAAAAAAAAAAAAAAAAGATACTTGAAACTCAAGAAGGAGGAGAAAGATTTAGGAATGTCTTTGAGCCCTTTTTGAGCAGCAAGTAAGCACACTGACTTTGAGGCACCAGTACTTGACCAGACCTTCCTGTGATCCACCAGCAGTGACGCGTAACAGAGTGGGTCAGAAGTAATTATTCTTTTCTCTCTCTTCTCTTTTGCTCTGCAGGACCTGGGTCGGTGAGAGGAATAAATGGATCCATCAGTCTGGCCGTACCACTGTGGCTGCTGGCAGCGTCTCTGCTCTGCCTTCTCAGCAAATTTTAATAGAATACAAATTTAAAAATAATTCAAAAAAAAAAAAACACACAAAAATGCGTCACACAGAATATGGAGAGAGAGAGAGAGAGAGCGAGATGGGGGGAGACTGTTTATTTCACAACTTTGTGTGTTTATAAGTGAAGGGGGAAAAAAAAGAAAATGAAGAAGAAAATACACATTGAAAGCAATTTTAAAGTCCATCAATAAACATTTGAGCATAATTCAGGGTGGAAAAGTTCTACCAGGAAATGTGTGTATCTACTAAGCAAACATACGCTGCGTAAAGACTACATCATGCTAAGCACATCGGGATGTTGTGAAAATAAAGATAAGAAGACCTAGATGGATATTAACCCCCTCACACACACACACTTTATCCTTCCTTCCTTCATCCTTTTTCATCAGTGGGGAAAAAAAAAATAAGGTCTTGCCTTTGGTGTTTATACTTCCATAATCTCTTTTTCTTCTGTTTTCCATTTGAGCTGACATGTAGCTATTTCAGACTATCAATGGAATCCGATGTTAAACATTTATCAGACTTTCCTGCCTACACTCGCTCTCCAACTTTCAAGATCATCCCCTCTCCTTCCAATGTGTTCTGTCTCCCCCACACCTAACCCAGATATTTTCTTTTTATCACCACCACCCCCTTCATCCCCACCTCGCCCGGAGCACTAATCATGCCGCAAATGCTAGAAAGTGCCATTTTAATTTTCTCCACTGTGCGCGTGTGCTCGTCTCTCGCTCTCACGTGGGTGTACATGTGTGTGAGCGTGTGTGTCTCTCTCTAAAGCATGCCAAGGGAATGGTCCATGTGTACATAGACTCATTGTGCTGTAGATACTGTCCTGCATTGTAATCGTGAGATGCGGCTGTAACAAGTTGCTGGGGGAGATGGCGGGGAAGGAGGCAAGGAGCAGAGTCCCTCCCCCCATCCATGGCTGTCATATGACATCAGTGTGTTTTCCAATCAAGCTGTGCTCTTTCCAAGGGCAGGACCCCATATTCCTTCTAGTCCCATCATCAGAACCCAGTCGGGAGTCACTCAGAATATCACTGTCAATGAAAGTGCCTACTATCGATGGGGTGAGCAAACAGTAGAAAGAATCAGTGATGTGGGTGAGGTGACCTAGGAAAGAAGGCTTCAGATCTCACTCTTGTTCTACAAGTCTGAGGGATTTGTAGATTTCCTAGCTTTTTCCAGGCTGGGCTCTAGTCTCCTGTGGGAGTGACCAGCGTGTGTTGTACGAATCCCCAGACACCAGCAGGTCTCCAGTTGTTAACTCCCAGCAATGATGCCTCATGGATGAGCCACATGGAGATGCTAAGCAGCCCTGTTTTGCTTCCTCCCTAGTTTTCAAATAACACTGCTTTTGCCCCATGGATTCTCCTGAGCAGAGATTGTTTCCTGTTTCAGATAAAATACAGTGAGCGTGAGCAAGGCAGGAAAAGTGGACCGATGCCCTGGTTTCCTACCCGTATTCCAGAGAAACTGTCAGAGCTCTACTGCTAAGTATTGACCACAACAGAAAAGAGCTTACTTCTTGTGCTCCTTTGCAGATTTCTGTCCTGGTGCTCTCTAGTCTAATACTTTACCTGCTGGCCCACAGTATCCTTCTTTTGTTCTACTGATGGTGGGTGGTGTTTGCAAAGTTATTGTTCATGGTGGTGGGTCATAATCCTAGGCCAGGCTATTGGTGAATCCCTTCCCTGCTCTATTTAAATTTGCATCTACAAGAGTCACCTTGACATTAGCCTTGAAGTGTGAGCTAGTCCCTTAACTGAAGAGCTGAGCCACTTGCAAAACTTTAGGCAGAAGCTGTATGAGAACCACAAAGCTTGGCATCGCCAAGATGTCAGAAAGAGTTTGTTCGGAAAGTTCTTGCAGGGAGAATTGGTTCTCTGTACGTAGCTACCATTGTCAGGAAACCAATGATTGCTCCAACTCACACTGTAGGAGGCATTGGAAGTGGCCCTGCTTATGAAAGGACAGAGATTATTATTATTGAAATCATGCTTTAATGTAATCCTACAGAGCCAAATAGGGTACCTCATTAAGTTTTGAAAACTTGTCTGTCACATGGCATAAAATGAACAAATCCATAACTGCCAAAAAAAAAAAAAAAAAAA